AATAAGGCTGCTTGTCTAGCTTTTTTGAAAGAATGAACATCAACTTGTTAGAGTGTGCTCTTATATTATATAGTTGAGAAATTATAGATAAATAACTCCAGTGATGCATTTAAGATTTAAAAAAAAGAAAAAAAATCCAGTCACCTTTTCAGAAAATCTCTTTGTGAAATACCAAGGCTCTACTTTTAACAGCATCTCCAGAAATCATCTTAAAGTCTGTCTCAGTTAAAACAGCATTTTTTTTCCAGCGTGGACAAAGAAAATACATCTCCTACTGCTTATAGTCCATCACTTCAGGTCTAACAGTTTTGGAGCAACTCTAACAGTCAGACACCGTCAATCTTGCTGCAACTGCTACTATCTCGTCATAAATTCGTCCCCAAGTAACGCCAGGAAGATAAACTTAATAAACACCACCCTGTGCTTGAAAAATAGCCCCTTCACTTACTTGAAAATCTTTCTCTTCCAGGATCTCTTTCCTCCACCTGACAAGGAAGGCAGCACAGACGTACAAGTGGAAGTGAGAAAAACCCTCTGGTTCAGACTAGAAAAAATAAAAATACATCATCCTTTCAATACACAAATAATACTTTTGATCACCATATACCCCAGTGTATTTTTATGACATTCACTACTAACTACAAATGCCAAATAAATATCTCGCTTTTTGTATCACAAACACGTTTGCATTTCATGTATGCCAAACCTATTCACAGCTATTATCTGTAACAGGAATTAAGGTGAGGTATTTCTTGTATTTAAATTCATTCTTCCCAGATGTGTTTTCCATTTCTGATGCTATCCATTAGCTTATATCTGGCATGTAATACCGTACCGGCTAGCTCAACACTGTGGCATGAACATATGCCTCATCTCCATTATTAAGAGCAAACTCTACTACTAGTAGTCACTTTTTCATTATAAATTCTGCTATAGGGAATTATTAAGCATTTTAAAAATATACAACTTGGTTTATATTTGACTGAATTACAGGTGTTTACTAAAGGAAAAAAATCTACTCATTGTAACACAAAGCATTCACAACTCAGATTTGTATTCAGACCTGCAGCTTTCTGTTCTAGTTCAAGTCAGCAGATTTAGTCACTTTATAAAACTCCCCCTAGAAATTAAGATTTTATACATATACTGAAGAGTTTAGAAAAATTTGTGATCCTACTTCTAAAAGACTTCACTAGGTTTTCTTGTATTACCAAATTAATCTTAGATTTTATTTTCTATACTACTGAGAACTGAAAAAACAATTATGATATTTAATTATCAATGTGATGACTGTGAACTAATGCTATGTAAAATCTCATTAAAATAACATTTAAACTTAATAATTATAAAATTAAGCTACATAATCTGACAAAGGTAGGGATACTTAAATGATATCTAAATAATTTATAAGATCTAATTGTAGTACTTTAAATGTATAGCAATTTTTTTCATATTCTCTATTGGTCATTTTGAAACTGCAGTTTACTCTTTAGAAAAATACAATGGTCTGTTCAAGTAAAGTGAACTGAAACAATTTCTTACGTAAAAAATAACATGACAAAATTTTTCTATTTTATTGCTATTTAACCTAGAAAAGCACAGTAATCAAAACATTCTACACAACATTTTAACCGTCCAACAAAATAACCTCACTGCTATTGCAAGCGGAGGAGGAAAAATATTCTCCTCCTCCTACTTCTCATTCTCCTCCTACTACTTCTTCTCCTCTGCCTTTGACTGACAGAAGTGTATACAGGGTTGGTACAAACACCACGTCAGAAGCTAGAGAAACTACAGATGATCCTGTCCAGCAAATCAGTAAGAGTCAAGAAAAGAGGTAATGCCAATTATCTGCAGGGAAGTTTTAAAAGTTTAAAAGCGTAGTTAGAACTGTAAATACGAATTAGTTAATTTTGGAACCAGAAAAGTAAGATTCTGATCATAAAATCCTGTGATATTTTTCTTCTCTAGGAAAACACTCTACTTGAATAACATTGTAAAATCCCAGGACAGACAAAGCATATGGTAATTTTAACTAGACTTCTCTCTAGAGTTTGTCTTAATCAGAAAAATTCAAGTAAAGCCCAATTTACAATATTAAAGTTGCAGTTTTACAGAATCATGAACTGACTACCACACTCCTGAAAAATCCATGTCTGTTACTTTACTGTTGGCATTTCTCTTGGGATGGAAAACTAGCATATATAAAAGCATAAAATGGTATCTCAAGAAGACATACTTGTAAGCAATGTGCTGCTACTACTTATCACATCACATACTATTATGGCAATATTTAAATAATCATACACAACTTTAAAAAATGCAAAAAGCCAGTTGTAAGAAAACAACCCACTTCCTACTTCATTGTGTAAATGAATTTAAAGAACATGTAGTATTTCTTTAAATTCACCCTTTCATAGTCTTTTATAACAATGTAATCTCTAAAATAAGAAAAAATATTTTCAAATTTTATTTTTTAAAAAAATTAAGTAGAGAAACAGTAATTGTGGTCTATTTTTTCTCAGCACTGAACTGCAAGCAATTTCTGACTTTTAATGTGAATTTTAAAAATGTCCTTTCAAGTATCAGGCTTTAATCATACATTAAAAGTTTCTATTATCTTGGAATATACAACATAATCTCATAAAAGTGACAAACTACCTTCAGATTTGAAAGGCAAACAGTGCAGTAATGTCCAATGAAAACAGACTGTGTTTAAGACTAAGTCAACAGTCTGTACAAGAAAACACCAACATGTGTGTCCCAGCAGCCTGCTCTGAAGTATGTGCTGTCACTGATGAAGACTTTCTGGCATAGTAAGAACCAGCTCACTTCACCACGGAGAACAATGATCTGTGTTTTTAGATCTACTTCGAAGAAGAGATAACTGAAGAGCACGGCACCAGCCTGGGCATTTACAATCACACAGGAAAGCCGGGAAGAAGAACAACGATGGTTACGAGACGGAGGGAAATAAAGCTGGATTGAGATTGCAGAACAGGTAAAGAAAAGAGATAAGAAAGAGGAAGACTATTTTTGCAGATGAAGAAGTAGGAAGACTGAATAGTCTGTAAGCAGAAAAATTTAATTTAAAATAATAATTATTAATCAAGACATTTTATGTATTGCATTCTTTGTTATCCTATCTGAACACAATAAAAGTTTACATTTCTTTAATTACATGACATGAGCAAGAAAGAGGGAACTGAAAGGAACTGGGTTTGGTATTAATATATACTAATTCCTCCTCCAACATCATATAAGTTCTTGACAAGCATAGGGGAGAAGGGGGCAGGATTAAAGAAATCTGTCTGAAAGCAGCATTTTAACGTTCAAAGTCAATTTGCAGAAGCTGTTGGCAAAATTATTTATTTTGCCCTCTCTTATATTGACTCACAAAGCAATATTGCCTAGGAAGTCAAATTAGATCATCAGAGTATTCTTTCTTTCTGATAATAACCTAACATTCTGATTTTAAGCCCAAGAATTCACTCTATTATCACATAATAAAGAAAATTCTTCCACAGCCAGAAAAGTTGAGATAAGTGGCTTAAAAAAAATTAAAAGCAAAAAAACCCAGAACTGCAATACTGGAAACTGAAAATGTTTTTGAGGAATTGCAGAAAAAAAATATCTGGAAGTATATAAGAACCTGTACTTTTTCTTGAGATTTTTCTGTTCAACCTTTTTTTTCCCCAATGCAATTTTCTTCAGCTCTTTTAAATGAAACCAAATAGGTTTAAATATGCAATTCATTAGAGAAAAAAATGCATATCCCCCTATAGATTTAAAAATTCATCATGCTTCAGAGATAAGTCTAGGCTACAAAGTATTTCCAATGGATAGTTTTAGACAGTTTTGGAAATTGAGTAAAACAGCTAATGCATAATTGCCTTTTCTAACACCTGCTACCTATTATACTTTTCCATTTGTAGCTTTTGAAGTTACAAACAGTTTGATCTCTAAATGTACAGAAATGCAGACTACCAGCTAAAAGCTATTTAAAATCAAATATAAACAATGACCTTGATTTAAATATTTTAGCAAAAGATCTCAAGACAGATGTACAGCCTTCCAGAAGACTTATTCTGAACATATTACAGACAACTCAGAGCACATTATCTAAGAACCATCTGTCATTATCAATAAAAATCATTTAGATTGTTAACATCACAAATATCTCATTGCCCTGCAAATGCTGGATCTCCTCTGCAGCTGAAATGAAAGGCATTCTTTATACTGCACTCCCCAAACTTCTTGAATTAAACAATCACTGAAAGAATTCAAATTTTATTGTATGACTAGACCGATTATTGTCTAGTCAACGATTAGTCTAACCTGTTTCCCATACCCTGGGGACTTCAGCATTTAGGGAGGGTAATATCTCATGGTATTATATTTGTTGATAAAGTAAATACAATAGGCGATTATTTTTGAAGTACTCAAAATGATTAAAGCTATGAAACTGTGCCAGGGTTAGGTATCAAACCACATTTCACACTCAAATAATGGCTCAGACACAAGGACTTTCAAACACTTTGTGATTTCAGATAAGTAAAGCAACTTTTAGCCTCTCCATTTTTATTACATTACAAAGAGCATATAGTTTAGCTGTAAAGAGGTTTAAGTATTTTTTCCAAAACTATCCAAGCAATCTATGGCAGAAAAAGAGAAAGAAGCCAACGCAGGATCATCATGGAAAGTGCAATGCTATGGCTGCTTCTCCAAGATTTGCCTTTTCCGTCAGCCAGGAGCTCCGACTCAATCCACTGTCAAAACAGACTCAAGAGTTGCTGTCTGAGAAGAAACACAGCACGAGCACACCACAGAGAAGTCGGTCAGTGTAATTACCCTGCCACCAGGAATGACCAACAGCAGATAACTACGAGCATAAGGGTGCAAGCATATAGCGGTACCTCCCCTGAACACTCTTCCAACTTTCAATGATTTTGTGCTCAGAGATGTCCTTAGACAAGCTGTAGAATATGTCCACTTAATAGTTGTTAATGGATTTGTCTTTACTTACCCGCGCAAAGCTTTTTGCAACTCTAAGCTTTTTTGGTTATCACAAAGTCCTTTGGCAAACAATTCCAAAACACAAGTGTTTGCTATATAGCCTGTTTTAAGCCCAACACCTGCTAGTTTCATTCAAAGCTCTTCAGTTATCGCTTTGAAAGAGAGGATGAACAATCCCTTCCTATTCACTTTCTTCAGTCCTTTCACTTTTCCTTCTTTTTTGCAGACTATAATTACTTTTTTTTTGGTCTATTCCACTGTTCCACTATCTTTGCTTAGCCTTCTTAAGCATCCTTTCTTGTACTTTTCTGATTTTGAAATAAGGTCCGAACTGTATACAGCATGTAAGATGCAGAAAGAACATAATTCTCACAGCTGCATAAAGATATTTTGTTCTCCTTTTCTTTCCCAGCAATTCCTAGCTTTTGATTTTTCTTTCTTGACTGCTACTGAGCTCATCTTTTCCTCTTGCGCGTAAGTGTAGAAAACTAACTTGAAGCCCATAGTTTTACTAGTAAAGTTAGGCTT